GGCTTGCGGACGAAGGTGTGAGTTGCGGGTTGGACGAGCTCCTTGCGCCTTTGTCGCGCACTTTCAAGCCGCAAAAGGGGCCCGACATCAACACTTGTCCACCTGCCTACTACCCCTGGATGGAACAGGCGAGCCCGCCTAATCGCGGAGCGTGCCTTTAAATAGTTTCCGTTTCTCGTCATAAACCAAACAAGAGATTGAATGAAAAGCGCTGATATCCCTTTTGGACATAAATCTGGAATTATTGAACCCAAAAACTCATTTCAATTTGAAGTAGTAGCAGTGCGTATGTGGCCCACACAGCGACTTTCATAAGAGACGCCACGCATGAATCAAATTTTCTGAGCAATGCTTAACCCAAGTTGCTATATTAAAGCGTCCTGTGGTCAAATGCTTGCTTTAAATTCAGAATGAATCAAGAATTACTTTTCTGTTACCGTATACTGATTTGTCATTTTCCAGCTGGCGGATTCCGACAGTGACCTCTACAAGAATTTCAACATCGTCATATCGGAGCGATGGCAGAACGAAATCGCCGAGACCATTTTCGAGGTGAGTGCGGCCTTTTAGAGTTCCTCATCAGTTCCATATCGCTTTGCTTTCTCATTGTCAGTCAAATTGCACTATGTCTCTGAGGTCCTGCCAGTATTAACAGACCACTTTTCACATGTAGCGAATTACGCGTTCAACTTTTCTGGCTTTTTATCTGCGACTTCCCTAAGAAACGTGGAAGTCACATCTCCGCGGCTTCGTCCAGATATCAGTATCAATTGTTAACTTTCTGCACATCGCTTCAAGTACCTCCGTAGATTTTCTGAGGATGTCGATTGACAACTGATGACAACTAACCTTTCTAAACCCTTCATAGTTCACAATTTTTCCAAGTTCACCGTAAGCATTTGTTCGAGTTCCTTACTGGGAAAGCCTTTAGCTTACCATTAGCAGCAAGAAACAATTGTGTCGAGACAGGAGTTATGGCCCAAACCTTGCAACGTTCACCCAAAGAACACATGGGAAGAAAAAATTCCGAAAGGAGTGACCGAAATGTGCAGTAGGTGAACTACTCTTACAGTAGGGTTGCGCCATGCATTAGCGAATCACCAAAAACAGAACGGTCATGAACTGCGCGCTTAACAGATCTAGTTCCGCTTTTCCTACGACTTCTATGATTGTGACCTAACAAGTCGACCAATTCTGATCTAATCTCGATCGCTCACTGATTATTTCACCTTTCTACCTTTCTTCCTATCTCTGTTATGTTTCTTTTCCCCAATCGTCAATTGGATAGTGCACAAGTTAACCACATGGAAATTCTAGGTTGTCAACCAGGACGCTGACAAAGCCGAGACCAAGAAACGATCGAAACAAAAGGCAAAAATGAACGTTGATGAGAAAGGTTAGTATTCCTTTCTAACTATTATTTGACAGGATATTTCTGAACATTCATTAGTGAAGGATTTCAAGGCAAATCTACCGTAATTACCAGACGCCAAGATTTCTGTGTGCATGTGGGATTGATTCTGTAGGTAATCATATCTTTCAGATTCGGATGTGATCGTTCATGGCTACATAAAAAAGCTCGGTGGTCCATTCACCTCAGCATGGCAAACCCGATATGGCAAGCTCTACCCGTCGCGACTTGAACTCTATCCGGAATCGCTGAGTGGAAAGCCAGAGGTGAGTGCAGTCATGTAATGCTCGTTTGTGTTCCACTGAATTTCGCAATTTCAGCTGGTGTTCATGGATCAAATCGAGGGTCAGCGGAGAACCAATCGTCGTGAAATACGGGACGAGATTAGAGCCAAGAAATTACTGACCAATGTCGGTAAGCTCCGTCTGGCTGTGCTCACGCGATTCAAGGCATTGCTCCTGTTGGCTCAAGGCTTGAACTGTTCACATTTACGAAAGGACCGTTATTTCATATTATTTCATACGTTTTGGCAGTAAAGGTATGAATCAGAAAATGCGGAATGCGGCGGAACAGTGGCTTATGTACAGACATATAGCTTGACCGACTGGAGAATCTTACAGTAGAGACTACGCATGGTGACAACTAGCAAAAAAAGAGACTACCTAGTTTCTGTGCGCGGACCGCATGCACACGTCCTGACCTATACCCGGCCGTGAAGGCGTTCACTGAAACTGCTGCAAGCGCGCATCCTGCATGTGGTGGCACTATTCATCCAGACCCCTGAGATAAACCATTTTCGTTTCGGGACGAGATAAGAGTAAGTGCAGTTCGTCGGAATTCGGCAATTGTGTCAGCTTTTTCGCCGGATAAGGGACGATACGTGCCATGTCATTCCTTGACGGCAATTGCCTTGAAATTGCTGGTTTGGGCGGAAGCGCTTCCTGCACATTCTCCCTGTTGTGCAAGGCATGCGGCGATAGATCATATCCAACCCATGAAGGCTCAATGGTTATTGGCTAACCCGCGTTGAAATGAATGTCGTTGTATAAACCGCTCATCGTTGACTCAAGGCTCATTCCATGAATACGGAGATGCCGATGTTGTACACGAAATGAAGGTGTGGTAATATTATATTAAACTTCGATCATAACGAAGGTACAAACCAAAATTGTCAAGAACCCGTGAAAAAGCATTTCACGCTGAAGTAGCGTAGTTACGTGCCTGGTGGGGCTGTATCCTATTCTTCCCCTGGATGGATACATCCCCGCCGTTAAATTCCATCCTAGGATTGGGGGAGACAGGGTGTATCTTGGGAGCCTCCATTGAGCGCGTGATGTTGTAGCTAACCTACTCTGTTGAGGCACTTTTTTCTTAGAGAGCTTGCGCTGTATGGAGTCTAGAAAAGTAAGGCTAGTAACATGACGCAACCCTGTCTTACAAAACCATATAAGGGCGCGTCCCTCTGGAGGAAGGATAGGACACGGCCCATTATCCCCACCTTTTATTATATCCCTACCATAACAGTGGCGCCGACCAGTGGTTCCTCGCGGTTCTTCGTTTCCTCCGTTTAGGTTGTCTCCACCTTTCTGTTCAATGTAGAACATTGCTTAGGGTTTGGTAGTTCCGTTGACAAATTACATCAAAATTACATCAAATTTTTGGGAGCAGTGAGATAAAAATAGGCTATCTCTGTACGTGCCTCCGACTTGAAGGCTGTGATCCCACAAAAACCGATTCCTCAATTTTTCTGGCTTAGAGAAGGAAAAAATGCCTGAGAAAAGGAAACGGAAGAATTTCTCCCAGTCTCAAAGCATACTTTAGAAGTTTTTAAACTTCGGTTTTCTAGTAAGCGCATCTAAGCGAAGATCGAGGGCCTTAGACATAAACCTCCCCTTTCATTGTTGGCTATAGAGATTTCCGTAAGCAATTTGTGCTGTTAACTAGCAATCAAGGGCGGACCCGTCCTTTTGAAAGTGAAAGGGATTGCTTGCTTATTTCTAAACTTTCTCATTACTTCAGGACGAGATCTCACTGAAGGAGTGGCACACCTCGTTGCGAACAGCGCACAAGGTC